CCCCCACCCCGCTTCCTTTCCTCTCTCAGTTGTCATAGTTCCCTGCTTTTATTATCTCTCTCCTCTTACTGCCTCAGCTTTCAGATGATAATTCACGGCTTGAGGAACAGCTGCTGCATAATGGCTGGATGAGGCTCGGCACCACTTACAGCTGACCTAATGTGAGGATAAATGAAGAAATTTTGTGCTTTGCATGTAGGCTTACCTACGGGATCTTTTTTTCCAGCTTGGGCATGCTAGGTGTCATCACAGGAGGTGGACTGCAGATGGGCTCTGGCTTCCCCTTGCCAGCTGCTCAGGGGTTGGAAATACGCTGGGGTTGGTGGCGAGAGGAAGGAGGTGTTGGAGACTCTTAGTGTTTTTCAAGAAGGTCACCTGTGTCTAACCGTGAGTTGCCTTTTTTGTTTCCCCCTACCACTTGTTTATTCACGCGAAAGCGCTGCAGCCTGTGCACTAGGAGCAGGTGGAGCGACACGTTGCATGTGGCCATGCTGCGTTTTGCCAAGCTGCCCTGCTCCTTTCATTTCCTCCGGGCGAGCGATCCAAAGGTCTTGTCATCTTTGGTGCTCAGGGCCAAGGCCACCAAGCTGAGCTGGGAAGTGTCCGCCCACGTTAGTAGGCACAGCCGAGGTGTTACGGCTTATTTTGGGGCTGTCTGGCTGAGGTCAGCAGTGTCAGCCCTATCTGTGCTGCACAGATGTCTGGGCTGCTTCGAAATCAGCTCCTCAGCGGCTGCAGTTTGTGGGGCAGTGCTGTAAGAAAAGCTTCTATCCATTTTTGTCAGACAGATGCTTAAGATGTTAATGGTCACTGGGAATACTATACCTGTGTATATTCAAGGCACTAGTTGAGAAAAGAAGTACTTAGAAAAACCTTCTGTTTTACCCTTAACCGGCATTTGAACTTTCTTACTGTCACTGTTAGATACAACCTTCCAGTTGCTCCTGGTCATTTAAGGATACCATTAAGTTAAGATGGGTAGAAGACACATTTGAAGAAGTATCTGGACGCTTGACCAAACCACACCCCCTTTTTTTGTTCCCTTTCTCCAGTTGTACCAATTGTAGACCTTGTCTTATCTGGAAAAACACCTTTATTTAAAAACCTTTCCTCTATAATTGGCTTCTGACTTAATGGGCTAGAAGGGAAAAAAAATACTATAGAGGATACCTGAGGCTTTTTATCAGAGTGATTTGAAGAAGAAAATGCTGCTGCAGGCTTACTGTAGGTATGCCTTAGTCTGCCCTCACCAGGTGTATTCTCAGCCTTATTTTCTAATTGCCTTTTCCCTGATTCCTCAGCTAATATTTTTCCACTTTCAGTAGGTACTGGTTGTTGCAGGGATCTGAGGGATGAGCATTTCTGTGTTTAGTTTTACTACCTTATTGCTATTGGGTCATAAACACAGTTTGAACAGAAGGCTCCATCAGATCAGGGTTAGTGGTTTTGGTAACTTAAAATGACCTGAATGTATTAGCATGGCCATTTAAAATGTGGTGGAGTTTAAACAGATGCATGCAGAGGTCAGTCTTGTTTTAAAATGGGAGGATGGGTTTGGTAGTTGAACAACTAGTATGTGGGTGAAATGGATCTCTAAGGCATTTTATTTGGTGTTTAAGAAACGTCAGTGATGGAAAAATCAATATGGCTCATACAAAATGAATTAGACTGGCTAATTAATCGGCTTTAATACAATTACAAGTGTGGAATGACCACCCACCATACACCTTGCTGTAGGGGATTTGCTGCCATTGGTACTCAACCATGTCATTTAAAATTTCATTAATGACCTGAAAGAGGTCATAGAATTTGTTTATCGCTTAAGTTTGCGGCCAATTGAAATCCTGCAGGCATTGTTATGGAAAGCCAGACTTGTATATTGGGAATTGAGGGGTTGGTGGAAAGGAAAGCCAGAACCTGTGAGTCAGGGTAGGCTATCAGCAGGCTTTGGCAGTCAGTGTCCTGCGGGCAAAAGGGCCAGCATGCTTGTGAGCGTATGAGTGATCTTATGTGATGACATAAGACCCCTTTTTACAAGGCAGTTTGGTCTGGTCTGCTTCTAGAATACAGCATCTGCCTGGGATATTGATGTGTCAGATGGTGAGATCCAGGAGAGAACAGAAGGTGGTGAGAAAGATGTTAAAAGAACAGGGAAACAGGGATATAGTGATACGTACAGAGATGGGCCTGCTAAGCCTGACGTTCATCGTTTCCCAGCGAACTATTTATAAATTGCAGAGTGTTTCCAGTGTAAGGCTCCTAGTACAGTCCTGGTCTGTCTTTATTCAGTAGGTGTGCTTTATGTTAATGCTTGTGTAAGGCATGTAGTCCTGTGGTCAGTTCAAAGGTTTGGTTTTTTTTTTTTAATAGTTTGTTGCAAAGAGTTGGTTTGGCTGGGTCCTCATCTGATGTGATTTATGAATGTTTTATACTTGCATCCTGATTGATGTTTTATCTGGCTGCCTTAGTGGAAGATAAGGATTGGATGAACAAGAGGCTAAACATACCACAGGTGGAGTCTCTGCAGAGTTAAACATGTTGTTTGCCTGGAAAGCAATGGCATATTGGAAATATTTTTCCATAAAACCTTGTTTAATGTCTATATATGCCAGTCACATAATCTTTAAAAGACAAGCCTCAGTATTTCCAAGGTAATAATCTGTCTAAGCATTTGCATTTTTAGATTTTAAGAGATTTAAGCATGTGCAATTTGGAATTCACATTGTGCTTCTGACATGATTTGAGAAGTGGGTTACACTAGTGTTGCAGAAGATAATTTAGCATGCAGGCCTTGTTATTTGGTAATAGTTTGCAGTATAAAAATAACTTTGCTACTTGGATCTGCAAATTTAGCTTTGATGCTTGCAGTCACAGAATTGGGGGCATTGCATGGGTGGGTGGGGGATGTTTGTCATCCAGTGACCCTGAATAGGGAAGTTACCCAATGAGTCTTTCTCACATCAAGGTTTGATGTTTTGAAGAGCTAATTCTTACAGCTGATCTGTCCATAAATACCAGAATGAAGATCATAGTCCACATGCAGGTCGGTCTTCTCTTGAAAACCTGGAGCAGACTCTTTTCTGTGGCAATCCCATGGAAGCCGCAGTTAAAGCATCTTGATGCATTTACTCATGTCAGAGTTTAAAAATATATCGTGAAATGAGCAAACCTCTGCTAAGATAGAAGGATGTGAGTGTTTGGAGTGGTTTTTATTGTGTGGGTTTGGGGGCTTTTTTGTTGTTGGGTTTTTTTGTTTTGTTTTGGTTCCCCCCCCCAAGGTGTTTATAATCAAGTAGTTGAGTTCATAATGAAGTAGCCTCAAAATTTTACAGCACTTAAGCTTTTTTCCTCACTTTTTATCTCTCTCTAGGTTAGTTCATTCGCAAACCTTTTTTAACGGTAGGAGAAAAATATCTCTGGAGGGCATTATGTCCCGCTCCCCCTCTATCAAATGCTGCTAGTGGACATAGTGGCCGTCAGTATGCTGGGGGGTGCTTCCTCTCAGAGCCGCTTCACGTAAAATCGCAAGGAAGCAAATGTTTCTCGTATCCTCCCATTGTGTTGCTTCCTGTGAAAGAGCAGACTGGATGTGTGTCCTGGATACAGGCTTTTTTTGTGGCACTATATGTGTTGGGATGATCCAATCAAATTGGTCTTGGTATCCCTTATACTCTCAGCACAGGAGGAAACGGAGCTTCCTGGCATCCTGTTGTTCTCCAGTTAGCTTGGCTTTGGAGAGCTCTTGGGTCTATCAGAATCCAGAATGAAGGTGAGCTTAAAATGGATTTAGGATCTTTATAAAAAAAATTTTTGTGAGTTTGAGCTATACTTCATAAGCTTTTTCTTCAACAATCCTTTTTTAAATAGTGCTCTCCCTCCCTTGTAGTACCTTTCTGATCCAGTTCTGGTGTCCTCACAAGCGTCTGTGTCTCATGGATCCTAAAAGAAGGAAATACAGAGCTATTGTTTCGTGATTTCTGTTCATACTTCTAGTTTGCTTGTTTAAATCTACCACAAGAATCATGGAGCTAAGAAAATTTGCACTCCTGGTGCTTTCATGTTCCACAACTGCTTCACCTTTCCCCAATTTGAACAGTGGTTGGGCTGATCTCTAGCATGGTTTTGCATTTAAGCCATGTTATGTGTATTCTGCTGTCACCTTATTGATGTTTTTTCTCATTTCTATTTATTATAAATGATGTTATTATTAAAACTTTTTTTTTGGTGTTAAATTGGATTAGTTCTTATTTGCTTAATGCCTTTTTTTATGTATAGTCTTTAAATGCTTCATCTTTTGGGAAAAACCCTGCAAAATTCACATCTTGGCAGTTTCCTGGACCCTCTCCTTACGGCTTCAAATAAGAGTAGTTTTTAAATTATCTGTAGCCCAGTGAAACTTCATGAAATAGTTATTTGACTGACCTTGAGTGATAGCTGCTTGGAGGCTATTAGTATTTGCCTCTGACTGCTTGATTCCGTGCCTGTGTTGTGGCATTGCTCTCCCGAGCGGTGTGCACGCTACCTGAGCTTGGGAGATGTCAGCCCCCCTACAGCCGAGGTGGAACTGCTGCTCGCTGGGACCAGAGATGATCCTAAGTCTTGGGGGGTGTGAAATGTGCATGTTCACGTAATGCAAGTACCTCAAATACTGTGAATGCTTTTGGAGGTTTATTTTTTTCCCCTTACTGAAAAATACTGTCATAAAATGTTTCTTAAATCTGCTCTACCTTTTGTCAGTGTATCACATAACCAGGCACAGCTGGTCTGGCAGCCTCTTCTGTGGTTACTTTAGGTAGATTTCATGAAAAGTATCACTTCTTTTGGGTTTAGCTAGCCTGCCTTTGTCCCTTTTTCTCTCTTCTCCCCAGGCAATATGGGTTTTTTTCTCCCTTGCCTCTGAAGGCTGCTTTCTGGAGTACAGATTTTCTGATAGTGCCTGTGGGATGGGTCTGTTGTTGGGAAAATAAACAGGTTTTTGTTGACTTCTTGCTAAAAACTATTATGCTGTGGGAAACTAAATCTCTTTCTGTTTCTTAAATCAGTTGGAATGACTGTAATAGCTGCCTTTTATTGTCCTCTTTGTAGTCTTGCACAGGGGAATACTATGACTCCTTTCAACCTATGCAGAATCTAATGCGAGAGCTATTTCCATGGGACTTTGGATGAGTGTTTCCATTACCTCAGGCAAATATTATGGGTCTCTTTTTTTTTTTAATCTCCTCTTTTCTCCCTGAAAATCCAGATGTTTAATGTAATCTCCCAGTGCTTGAAGGTTACTGGAGTGTTTTCTACAAGACAGTTTGAGGTTTAGATCTCTTTCCCACAGTTAAAAAATAAAAATAAAATGTCCCTCAGCTTTCATCCCTCCTTTCCCCAGACCTCGTTCTGCATCTAACCTACCCATTGACTTCACTCTTTGTAAAATTAATTATCAGGAATGCTGCTTTCTGCTCTGCCTTGTAGAATAAAGGGATAGCATGTATGTTGTTGTGGAACTTCTTAAAGTATTTGTAGTAATTTAAAAAGTACTTTATGAATTATCAAGTACGGCGCCTGTGAGCTGCTACAGAAAGATTATTCCAATAGTAATGGTACCCAGTAACTTTTTTGGGCCAAAACATCTGAGGAAAGCTTCTCTCTGCTGATAATGATGTTTTATTCAACTTTCCTCTAATTTAAATGACAAGTTTTTTCCTTATGCTGTTCAGTTTTTCTAAAATGCAGCTGCTTCTCTATTCTCTTTCTATTTAAAAATGAGTTGTTTTTGTGTTTTTTAAAAATGGGGGGAAATCCCACCGTTTCATTGGTCCATAACAGGCACTGGAAGACTGTCTTGATCAGGCAATAGGTTCTACAGTCCTGGTTTGCATGATAGCGCTTAAAGACTAGTTGCTATGACTTACGGCCTATTCTTTTATTTTCAGACTTTTGATGCAAATGACCTGTATCAGGGACAGAATTTCAGCAAAGTTCTCAGCTCTCTTGTGGCTTTAAACAAGGTGACTGCTGGTAAGTAGACTTTGCTCTGTCTTGGTGCTCGCTTACAGTTACCTTCAACTTGCATCAACATATGTTTATACCCGTTGCTGTGTGCATGGTAAAAGGAACATGTGCAGTGTTTTAGAAGAGTTTTTTTGTTGCAGTTCATATTGTTCAGACTTTCAGTGGCCACTCAGAGTTCTCCAGTTTCCTGTTCTGCAGAAGAAAACTTTGCCACGGAGCTAAGGCTGAGCCTTTTAGCTGGCAAGAATTCTTAGAAAAAGGGTCTGGTTTCTGGGGACTTGTTTTCCCTCCCAATTTGAAATAGTAAAGTTGCCTTTTGCTCCACACTGTCACTCCTGTGTTTGAACAATTTGTCAAGGTTTTTGTTGTTCAATTCCCACTCTCCATTCCCCAGCACCATCCTTTCTTGACAGTAACAAAAGGATAGCCAACATCTTTGATCCCATAAGCTGTCTGTGTTTCATTTAGGTAGCAGGTAGAAGTCACAAACCATCCACCTCCATTTCTTTGATGGGAGGGAGAGAGCTGTAGAAATAGCATGCAGGTGAGAGGTGTCTGTGCTTCGTTGTAGGGTGAGGCTGTGCTCAACAATGCCCACTGGACCCAGGGGCAATCAAGAAATGTTAACATTGGTGGCCGTCTTTGGCTTCTGCTGCTCCATGCTGGGGCTTTACACTGTCAGCAGCAGGTTCCAGTAGTGGTCATCAAGTTAGTCTAGTGAGAGTGATTGTTTAAAAATGGACCATACTTCTCAGTTTTTATGCCAGAAGGGAAAGGAAGCTGATAGAAAAGTCAGTGGTGGATCAGTGTTGTTATGTTTAGTAGTAATATGGTAAGTATCATGTCACTTTTAGAAGTCTCCTGTGGTCCATCACAAGGGAGATGTGTTTGTGTGACTTTTTTTTCTCCTGTTTCCATCAGAAAATGCCCCTTAGCCGTGAGTTTTACAACCAAATTCTTAGTTCTAATGAATGGGCATGGAGTAATATGACTGGTTTCTTTAAAGCTACTTACACCAGTTGAAGATGCTGCCTTTCATCTTAACGGCAAGCACAAATGTAGGCAGTTTTAGTGCGTCTTTAAAGCTGCTGTACACTGACCATAGCTGGCTTTAAAGGGGAGGAAAGGTGTGGCTGTTTGGTCCAGACATCATTAGATTAATACCCACATCAAAAAGCCACGATTGCCGCTGGCTTAGAAAGGACCCCAGGCTGACCACATTCTCTCAGGGCTGGGTATGGAAGCCGAAAATCAAAACCACATGCAAACTGGTGTTGCCTCATTCCTAGGAGCCAGCAGAGTTGCATAAATCTTCCTGACCAACTGTTCTTCCAAACAGTTTTCTTCCTTTAGGTGACACTGTAGAAGGCATTTTAACTTCTATCTCCCTGCTCTAGTACTGGAATTTGGCTTTCACATCCCTATTTGGGTTGGCAAGAATTTCAGGTATACATAGGTTCCTCTCAGATGGGCGTTTCTGCAGTGGAAGGAGGATGAGTAATGAACGTGAAGAGTACTGAAAGGCTGCTATGGAGATACACCCCATCAAATTATTAACTTCACGAGGGGTGGGATCATGGTACCAGTTGCTGTTAGACAGATCAGGGCTGAGATAGTGGTAGAGAAGAAGGGTGTTACAAACCTTTGGAAATATTTGGATGGATGGAGGGGGTGAAGCTTCTGAGAAAAATACCAAATTAATATTTGGGGCCTACAAGGAAGCTGGGGGGGACTTTTTACAAGGGCCTGTAGTGACAGGACAAGGGGTAACAGGTTTAAATTGAAAAAGAGGAGACTTAGAATGGGTATCAGGAAGAAGTTCTTCCCGGAGAGGGTGGTGAGGCACTGGGACAGGTTGCCCAGAGAAGCTGTGGATGCCCCATCCCTGGAAGTGTTCAAGGCCAGGCTGGATGAGGCTTTGAGCAACCTGGTCTAGTGGAAGGTGTCCCTGCCCATGGCAGGGGGGGTAGAACTAGATGGATCTTTTAGGTCCCTTCCAGCCCAAACCATGCTGTGACTCTGATTCCATGAATATTTGTCGAACTTGCACATTCTGTTGTGATTCAAGATTCTTGAGTTTTTAGCAGCAGAGTTGGGACTTCTGACAGGAATCCCGTTGGGAAATTAATTGAACCTGTTTACTTGGCAGTTTAATGGAAACTTTAATGGATACATGGGATCTGCAAGCCTTTTAAATCTACCAGGAGTTCAGATTGATTGGAAGGTACTCAGATATTATTGGTTAAAATACTTGCAATTTGTGTGTGGCTTGTTTATAGTAATCTTCCTTCTTTTCAGATCAGATGTGTGCAGTTTCTAATTCAAGCCTCCAAAGGTGTTCTTGTGTCGGTGTATGAGCTCTGCTGTTGAGAAATAGAATGTTTTGGGAATCAGGCCACACTTAAACTCTAGGCAGTGTGTTTTTATGCTTGCCCAAAGGCTGGAACATGCTGACGTGAGTCGGCCTGATCCTGTTTTACTAGGTGAACTGTGTCAAGGTATAAAGCTGGATTTGGTGGTCCATCTGTTCTACTTGGCAGCAGTCAAGAAACATAGCAAACTGGATGTGTTTCAGGTTACTTCTAATCCTTAAATTCTGTTTGCTAGTGAGGGTTACGGTAACTCTAAAGATTTTGGAAGCATTAGAAATAACCATAAAGTTACGATTTACATTGGAAGGCCATGGTCTAGTCCGTTTCTTTGACAGTCTGTGGAAAAAAAAAAGTTGTGTGTCCTTCCTGTAATGGCCTGTAATCACCAGAGTTTATATTAATTTATATTAATACCGTGGCCTCACTGTAATCACCAGAGTTTATATTAATACCGTGGCCTCGAAATGCTTTTAGGAAAGCAGGCTCACAAAGTGTGAGGTATTTTGCTGGTCAGAGTAAAACCATGACATCTTTCATGACTTCACTATGTGATGATACTATCCATACAAAATATGCAACTTAATATGAATAGTTCTCATATCATACTGTTTGACTAGGGAGTGTATATTTTTGGGTTTTTCTTTGAAGGGTAAGGATTTTTTTGAAGGATAACAATGACCCATTTTAAAAAGGTGCACCTGAGGAAGGCGTTTTCACTCAGTCACTGTTGACACGGAGCATCATTTGTCAACACTTCTGAGCTTGTTATCAGTCTCAGACCCTTTCCCTCCTGCCTCTCAGCTGCTGTTGGATGCTTGCTGAAGTTGGAAGGTTTTCCAGCTAAGATAAATCGAGTTGTCCCTTCAGGTTTGACATGGAACAGCAGATACGCCTTTTTCACCAGTCTCCTCATGGAACTGAGTTTGGATGTGTCATTTCCCTTGGACCAAAAATAACTTGGATTTGCATAATCATGGTCTACTTCTGTCTGAAAGTAACTCAGTCTGTAGTTGTGTGAGTGTACCTCTGATAGGGAGGTCAAACGTTGGTGGCAAACTACTAATAAAGAGTAACAGGATTAAAACCAGGAGAGCAGTTGGGAGTCTTGTGTAGTCTAATAAAAACATCTTAAGTTTGGGACAGAAAACAACTGTGTGGCTTTCAGGGCTCCTTGAAGCTTGGATACTCACAGAATGATTTCCTTTGTCCTTGGAAAACACGAGGAAAAGGAATCGACGTACTCGTGCAAAGGAGCAATGCTTGCCTGCTGTAACATGTCACCTGTGCAAGAGTCCTGGCAGCATCCTCCTCCTCCATGGGGTTTGTCTGGGGGAGCTGGTGCAGCTGGGAGCAATCCCAGTCCCACAGTAAGGCTGGGGAGAGGCCCCAGCCAGTACTGATCCTGGCCCTCAGTGGCTGCTTTCGGTGCAGCCTGGTCCCTGTCTGGCTGTGGCCCCGTGGATGGGCTGACATGCCATCCCCAGAGTTTCCCGTGCCTGGGGCTGCCCTGCCGCTGGCTGGGGCGGTGGGATGAGCCCTGCCCTGCTGCCTTCACCGTGCTTCCCACCCACAGGGACCCCAGTGGCACCCTGACAGCAGTAACGCTGCCCCTGGGATGGACATCTCGAGTGGGTGTGCTTCTCCAAGTAGAGACAAAGGAAGGAGGGGGTGGTGGTGGTGTGTTTCTCAGCAACCAGCTTTCTCCCTACTCCTCCTATCCTTCCCCCTCTTCCAAAGGAGAAATAGCTTAGTTGGCAAAAAAGGGATGAGACAAAGGAACATAGGAAAAAAGACAGTGGAAGGAATGTTTTAATTGAGGAGGAGATGGGGATGGGGGGGGGGGGGACGACACACGAGCTAAGAAACAGATGTGGCTGGCTTTACTTCAAGCAAGTTCTACGCATTCAAAATTCTTGGCCACTAGCTAAAATGATGCTGGTTAATTACCTTTAAATAGACTGGTAGTGGGAAGGAATGGAGACATACAACCCTAACCCTCCTCTTCCTGAACAGCTCAAATTGTTTTCCTGTCTGCATGGGGAAGAAACTGCTGGTGTCTCAGGATTTCAGAGTACTTATTCAACATTTTAAAAAGTTACACTTATTGGGCAACTACAGATACATCATGTCTGCTTTAAGCACATGAGTTTTACAGAAGTTACAGGCAGTTTTCTCAAATTCTAATATTTGCTTTTTCCTTCCCCTTCCACAGACATAGGGCTGGGTAGTGACTCTGTATGTGCACGTCCCTCATCTCATCGGATAAAATCTTTCGATTCTCTGGGATCCCAGTCTTTACACAGCAGAACTTCAAAACTCTTTCAGGGACAGTATCGGAGTTTGGTAAGTTCTGGAAGTGTGGTGTGAGATTTTATTTCCCCCCCTTTTGATGAGACTTAAAAGTAAACAGTAGTGTGGGAAAGTAACTATTTCCCTCCTTTCGCGTCTGTATTTCAAGCCACTGACATTCTACTTTTTTGCATTTTCTTTTTCTCATGATGTTCCAAAATACATGCAGCTTTCTGTGAACTTCTAAGTATTTTTTCCTCACTTACCATTCCATGCTGTCTGCATATTCAGTATCTTCCTCCATTTATTTCTATTCAGTGTAGTTATGTGCTTTTTCAAAGGCAGAAATCTCGTTTTCTTCATGTCTGAGTTTAGGGATGATAGCTGAAGGATAGTCAAACCTCAGCAAAGGTGTCACTTTTAATTTTGGCAGTATTGGTAGTCATTCCTGTGTTCTGGTATGTTTTGAGGTGAATCCTTCAACTAGCCTTCGGGTAGCTGAGTGCTATGGGCACCTGTTTTGCAGTACAGCTAAAAGCAGGATAGAGTGCTGTATTGAAACTAACTCTGGTGAAAGGTGCTTTTAGTGACTGAAAGGTTTGCAAGGAGGGTTCAGATCCCTACTGTAAACTGCTTTTTCTGTGCTTGAAGGAGGCTCTTTTGAACAATGTGATGATTACTTTGTGAAACTTCAAACTCTGTGCTCTCCTTAAGCTTTCTTAGGTGTGGTTTGATGTGTTTTCTCTGGTAGCAGAGCCCGTGCAGGTTCTAGCCTTAGGCCACTAATTCCTGCTCCCACTCTGCTGTTCAGCACCCACTCAGTTTTGCTGATGCAACTGTGTGTGGGACTAGCTGTTAGCTGGATCATGGGAGTATTTAAGTATTTCTGTCACTTCTGTCATTTGAGCAGCTCTGCAGAAAGTTGCAGAGGGGCAGAGAAGTGCAAAAAGGAGGGAAAGGGAGCTAGTGGCCAAACCTGAGAAATTCCTAGAGTTTTTTTCTGCTGTAGATGATTAGTTTGGAACTGTTCTCACCAAATTTGTACTCAGCTTCCTTTACTGGAGACCCGTGTTGGCAGACTAAAGGGGCTGTAGTTGATGTCACTGTGCAGTGTTGCTGCCTACTTTGTCTTTTTACTGTGTACTAAGGCAAAACTTCCGTTCAGCAGTCACAGTGGATGTACAAGCATGCGATGTGCAAGCAGAGGTCTGAGGCAGATGTGCTTGTTTGAAACTGCAAATCCAGTTGTCGAACATTGTGACTGGCAGTATCGTGGGGCTTTCCACACATTTCCAAAGTTGTGTTTGCTCTTGCTTTCTTTCAGTTTCTCAGCCACTAAGAGTCTGATTGTTAAATCCGTTCTAGTGGAAGGTGTCCCTGCCTATGTCAGGGGGGTTGGAACTAGGTGGTCTTTAAGGTCCCCTCCAACCCAAACTGCCCTGTGATTCTATGAAATTGAGCTGTGACACAGTGCATTATAGACAACATAGAGGTGAAATTCTGCTACCTGGGTAGCTGACTAGGATTGCTTACTGTTACTTTTTTAGCTATACAGGTGTTGATCCTTACCTATGATAGACACAGGCATTTACCATGGTGTTACCTTAGTTCCAGTGAAATGGGTTGTATTTGGATGGTTGAAACTTGTCCAAGTATTCAGGTTTTTTTAGCTTAAAAGTTTCTTATAACCTTCAGGAAATGGTTGAATGATGCAGATATTCAAAATTGCTATCCAAAACCAAAATGCTGAATTTGAGCATCATTAATTTGAAAGACTTCTTAGAAATAGCTATTAACATGTTGTTGTGACGGCAGGTTATGCCCCTATCATATCTGTGGTAGGGCATGAGCATATATATGTGGGCAGCTGCAAGTCTGGCGTGCTGCAGACTTGCAGCTTTGTTAACCTCAAGGCAAATGATTTGTGAGTACTTAGTCAAGGTAAATTGCATAACTGTTTCATAGGTTTTGTGGAAGAACGCTGTCCTCCTCCACTGGCAGGCCATGGAGACTTGCGCATTCAAGTGTAGAACCTTCCAACCTGATCAGTTACGGGGGGGGAAAAACGGTTTTGAGCTACAAACTTGTTATTTATATCCAAAATTAAATTAAATTCAATGCAATTCCACCCTCCTCACCTGGAAAGTTTTAGGAAAAAATCCTCTCTAATGTAAAGCTGTTGTTTCTTTGTAGTTGCTGGAGGCAGTTTCAATTTATACTATGTATAAAATAGAGAATTTGTGGGTTGGGTTTTTGGTGGTTTTTTTTTTTTTTAAATAAGTATGGTTCTCATTTTAGCTCTGTAACCCACTTCTGATTTGAAGGGGCTGTAGTAAGACAATATATTCCCTGGACTGCCATAGATTAAAAATGACAGAAATACTGGAAATAGCAAATCATTGCTTCCAAATGCTTAGAGTAAAAACGCATGGGGAGTGTTGTGTGTGGAGGAGAGGCTTTCCGTTTTATGGATACTTCTGTTTTGCTCATGGAAGAATTATTTCCATCTCTAATGTGATCCTTTTTGTTCTTTGTATTCTCACTTACTAGGACATGACAGATAACAGCAACCATCAGTTGGTGGTGAGAGCAAAATTTAATTTTCAGCAGACAAATGAAGATGAACTTTCTTTTTCAAAAGGAGATATTATTCACGTTACAAGAGTGGAAGAAGGAGGCTGGTGGGAAGGAACTCTAAATGGCAAAACAGGGTGGTTTCCAAGTAACTACGTACGAGAAATAAAATCAAACGGTAAGTTTTTAAAGGAAAGCATGTTTGCACAAATTCTTGCATTGGGTAGAGGTTGATAATTGGTTGACTGATTAAAAATGGTAATCCTTCTTTTGAGCTTGGCTCTATTTACTGAACTTCATTCACAGCAAGCATTAATGCTCAGGAACTCATACGCCCCCACCCCAGTTTGCTGTAGAGTGCTCTAGGACTTATGAATTAACAGTGAGCATGCAAAAAACTCCCCCACTCTGTCTGCTTGTCTGTCTCTGTCACAGTTGGGCTGCTCTGATTTCCTCAGCCTGAATTCCTAGAATGCTGGATTTTGGCTCTGATGCTGACATACTTTGATTTGGTGCTTTGGGTTTAAATAGTGAGAGATTTCCTGCAAATCTATCTTGAAAAACCAACACCCCCCCATCCAAACCAACAAATCTCTAAACATATCCCATTACTTGGAAGCAAACAAACGCAGGAAAATCCCCAGTTCTACAGAAATCTACTAAGATTAGAGACAGTTTTGGAAAGATAATGTGGTTGGTTTTTTTTGGTTTTTGGTAAATTCATGTGCCTTCAACTTTTCTTTATTCAGGCTTCACTCTTCTGCTGAAGTTTTAGTTTGAACTTCATACAGTGAAAGCGCTGTCTGTAAATGTCATCTTCATGACTGAATATCAGAACTAACACTGCTTTTTAATCCACCAGATCCTTGATGTGGGTGACATCTGGTTTTGTCTCTTTCCTGTTTCTGCTTGCTTTTAGAAGTCGGGGATAAACCTGGTAGGATAAAACTACCCAGGAACACTCTTGAGAGGCTTTACCACTCTGACTTGACACAGCCTCAATCAAAACACACGCCTTTGTGGCCATGTGAAAATCACTGTCATAACTGGTTTCTTAATTTTTTTAGGCAGCCATACAGATGTGAGGGTAACACTCAATTTTAAAAATTATTCTTTCGCCTCTAGTTGCATCCTATTATTCTTCTTTGACTTGCTATCTACAGTTCATTTTTGCACAACGTTAGAGTCCTAGATCCGTAACTTCATTTTCATATTGAATTAGATCCTCTTAGGCATAGAAACGATGTAAGACCAGACTTCAATGTTCTTCAGAGAGACCTCAGATGGGGTTTATCCTGAAAAAAAAAATTCCTGAAACCTGTTTTTTTCTTGTCTGTAGTGTTGTAGCAGTCTCAGCTGTGATGACTATCTTGTCCTGTCGTTATTTGTTTAAAATATTGCTGCAGTGGTCTTGTTTGGTTTCATGAGTCTCAGTCTTCTCAGGCTCCTGAGACTGGGATATGGCTCAGTTAGGCTCTAGAATGGAAGTAGCTTTTAACAGTGAACGCAGGAGAACCAAAAGTTGCCAGCAACTGAAATTAAAGTGGTTGTTGTTTTTAAGAATATCTTACTTGGGTGAAGTAACTCTCGTAAGTAGGAAAACCATTAAGCTGTGGGCCTGAGGTTAGTACCAAGTGCAGATTGATTCTTCTACATAATTATTCTATATTTCTCCTCTTTTGTATCAGAGCACATTGCCACTGCATCCTGAGGTTGGACTTCCTTTGTTCTGCTGTCCTTGTTAAAACAGGAATGTAGTGCCTTTTACAACAAAGCTCTGAAGTTAGATAGATGGCTTGGATGGGTGTTCATGAGAAGCTTCATCCAGGTTATATGTATGTGTTGACAGTCTCTGTTGCACTCTTGTCTTCCTGCTCTTCTTTGCTCATCTTCATTAGACTGGTTGGCATTTCTTGAGTTGGTACTCCTTCATGTTCGTTTTCTTGTCTTCCTGTCATCTATATCATAGAGTCACAGAATGGTT